AAAGAGATGGGGGCAGCAGGAGAGCAATCAGGGTGATGGTAGCATTTGTCATGAGTGCCATGGTGTCTTCTGGGGTTAGCATGGAAGGGGTGAGCTGGCTGGGCACCAGAGGGGTGGGCGAAGAGGCTTGTCAGGGTGCCCAGTCATCAGGCCCATCTTGGGGATGTTGCTCACTGAATGTCTCAGGCTCGTTTGGGAAGGGGAGGAACAGCTCGGGCACCATCCATCAGGGAGCACATGAGTCACGAAGAGGCCATGTACCACGGTTGGTTCATTCGGGGCAATGCATGGGATGCAATCTGCCGCCCCGGCTCCAGCCCCGGCTGTTGGGCTGCAGCACCCATCTCCCCCGGGCTCGGCTGGGCGCTCTGGGCTCCCCCCACCGGTTGTGGCTGCCTCATGCTGCCGTCTGCATCTGCACCGGCTGGGAGCGGGCGCTGCGCCGGCCCCGGGAGCCCTGTCCCCACCACAGCCCCCGCAGGCTTCCAGCCCAGGCAGGGGGCTCTGGCTTTATGCTGCCAGGAGGCAGCCCCGTGAAAATGGGGAGATGATGGGACTACTGCCAGAGGCTCTGGGCTAGAGAGTCCCGTCCCTCTGCTCACAGGCAGGCTGAGGCCAGATTTGGGATCCGGAGGGGAGTTTTACCCCCCTGGTCAAATTGACACAGACTATGGGGGGTTTTGCCTTCCTCTGTAGCGGGATGTGTGACCTCTGCTTGGATCTCCTGAGCCTGCAGCGAGCGTGACAACCTTTCAGAGAAGCAGGACGTCGGCTGCTGCGGTTCCCTTGCTTTCCCTGTGGCAGGGGAGGGTGTTAGGTCTGCGTTGTGTCGTCTTATGTAGTTTAGGTGACGGACAGGAGCAGTGCGCTGGTTGCTGCGGTCCCCCTGCTCTACCCGCGACACGCGAGGGTGATATGTCTTGTGTTGTGTCAGGGTTGACAGCAGTTTTACTAAGAGGTTAGATTATGGATTTGTATGGGATGGTGTAGATAGGGGTGATCCTGCCTCAGGCAGGGGCTGGACAAGATTATCTCTGGGGGTCTGTTCCAGCCCAACTTCTCTACGACTATTCCCCGCGAGTGGCAGGGATACATCCATTCCTGGCAGTCTGGGGCTACCAGGGTTAATTGCTTTTGCTTTTAATGGGGCACCTCATTGCTAGCTTCCCACCCTCAGACCCCATTACAGCTTTGTCTCCTAGATTAGATCCCGTACCCGCACACCTCCCCGTGTACGGGCCCAGGAGGGCTCTAAGGCAGGGCATCGATTGTGCCAGCTGGAAGTCTTTCCTTTGCTAACAGTCTTGCTAACATACATGGGGTCTTTGCAGCTCCCATATCATCTGATTAACACATTACAAAGACAATTTAAATAACACAATTTCACTTTTACTGTTAGCCCCGAATGCAGAAATTGGTCTCTAGGTTATAGCATAAACCCAGGGACCCCTGTGACATAGGAGCACTGATACATGTGTTGTTTTTACAAAGGTAACAAGCAAACAGGTCAAGTGTGTTGGCTTATGAGCATTTTTACTTAGATAACAGGGCTGAGATGGGGTGCTAGCAGTGCAGAGCTAGATGGTTTCTGTCCCACTGATGGTACCTAGTGGCTCTTGGGGTGCTGAGCCCTTGACATTTTGATATTCAGTGCTCTGTGCAATGGGGATGCTAATATCCCCCCCCCCCCCACCCTCAAACACGATGTGTTCAGTCCATCCCAGTGCTTCCATTCAAAACAGCCAGGCAGTTGGAGACACAACCAACCAACCTTAAGCCAACCTATTAAATGGGTACTTTGCGTCGGTCTTTCATCAGTCCCATGGGACACCCATGCCT